GGGGGGGGGGAAGAGAGAGAGGGACTTGAAGCCCCTCTCTTGCCATTGACTCCAAGCGCACGGACGCATGCACAGACACACACACACATGCGCGCACATCGAGGCACGCACACCGACCAAGACAGCTGCAGTGGGAAGACGTTTCTTGAGGATGGCGCTAGCTAGGGGGTTCGGTGTCCCCCTTCTTCCCCCCCCCCGACTCTTTGTTTCAACAGGGGGTCCGCTGCCACACACAAGGGAAGGGGTTTCAGGCTGGGTGTGGGGGGTGCGCCTGTCTTCCTGGCATCACCCCCACCCCCCGAAGAGCCTGTCCAAATGCCAAGCCTCGGGCGCTTCTCTGTTGCTTGAGACGAGGCTTTGACTCTCTCCCCCCCCCCAAGTCACTTTCAGAGGGAGAGGCGCTCGTCGGGCACGCTCCCTGCTCTCCTCTTTGGCGTGCACGCGGGCCAGAGCGGAGCCTTTGGGAAAGTCTTTTGCAGCGATGGAAGCGAGGTGGTTGTCGCAAACGGGACCGGGGGGGGGCCGGTGCGAAAGCGAACAGGGCTCGGTGTCTTGGCCGTGCTGCATTTAAAAAAAAAGAGGGGGGGGCAGTGTTTAGTGCACGCTCCGGCTAATGGCATCTTTGTGGGGGAGACTGCCGCGGTCAGTGGCACGGCGCACAAAACCTTATTCATGCGCTTCGGATGCTGCATTTATGAATCAGTCTTCCGTGCAGCTTGCTTCTGGAGAGCCCCGTGTGTGTATGTGTGTGTTTGCGGGGAGAGGGAGGGTCAGACACACACACACCCCCTTTCTGAAACCGGGCTGCTGTTTTGTTCAGCGGTCCAAGAGACGCCAGCCCGCTAATTCTCAACCACCATTCGGGGTGGGAAAGGGCATCGTCGACAGGCGTTCTCCGCATCCTTCGGTGACATGGGGAGCAAGTGCCACTCCGTTGCCAGGGAAATAACTGCTCAGTCCCTTGCCCGTTTTTGCAGCACACCTGAATGCCCGCCCCGGCCAGTGTTTGGGAGCAGGTACTTCGAGCTGGGGTGTGTGTGGAGGGGAGTGACATTTGCATCTGGATCCCGGAACCTTTGGTGTTCTGCAAAGGCATTGGGTGTAAAGTAGCCCTGTTGGGTAACATTAGGGGTGAAGGGCGGGTATACATTCAATATCTTCTTCTTCTTCTTCTTCTCCTCCCTCCTCCTCCTCCTCCTCCTCCTAGAAGGGATGGTCCATTGGAGACGGGGTGGGGGTGGGGCCTCTGGATCCAGGATCCAGGAGTACAATCTCAGATCCTTGACAAGTGGGTTCAGGTTTGCTCTCCCACTGTCATTGGACACCGGTGGAATGTGGAGTCAAAAGAGTTAAAATTTACATGGGGGGGATTTCAAAGAAAACATAGTCCAGTGGGAAATATTACAGGGGCTATTGGAAGGTGAACATTCTGGCGTGTTGGAAACAGGAGAGAGAGAGAGAGAGAGAGAGAGAGAGAATCCTGTAATTTCCAGCATTTTGCATACTCTCCTCACATGTTTAAGGTGTGTTTCTGGACACTACAGCCACATGCAAAGCTTGAATCCCATCTCAAATAAGTCTGCTTTGGAAGGGGGAGGACAGGCTCCATCCCCCCCCTCTCTCTTTTGGTCTCATTCCCTGCGGAGGCAGTCCTGTGCTGCTGATCCTGCCCAGTGGTAGCAGAGGGTAGGAAAGCCCAGCAGGGAAGCGGGTGAAAGGCAGACATGGGGGGAGGGGGAGAGTGCTGTGGAGTCTCTAGCCAAAGGCTTCACAGATGTGCTGGCAGGAGCCCTGGGTAGCCTCGGCAAGGGCCAGGTCACGGGCACTGCAGATCTTCATGCATTTGTAGCAATCTTCTTGCCAGCACTTTCTGACAGTCCTCTTTTATGACAAGCTTTTTTTAGGACTTAGAAACTGGAGAGAGAGAGAGCCCATGTGCCCATGCTTATGGGCAGAGAGGGGCTATGGCTCAGTGGAAGAGCCTCTGCTTTCCATGCTGAAGCTCCTAGGTTCAATCCCCACTTAAAAGGATCAGTTAGAAGGTAATATCAAAGACCTCTACTTGAGACCCCAGACAGCCAGTCTGAGGAGACAACACGGACCTTGATGGATAGATGGCCTTATTCAGTATGAGGCAGCTTTGTATGTGTGTCTGAGAGAGCCGGGTGCCGCATGACGGAGTGAGCTCCCATCTCTAGTTCCAGCTCCTGCCAACCTAGCAGTTCGAAAGCAAGGAATTGCAAGTAGATAAATAGGTACCACTTCGGTGGGAAGGGAACAGTGTTCTGTGCACCTTGGTGTTTAGTCATGCCGGCCACATGACCATGGAAACCTTTTCGGACAGCGCTGGCTCTTCGGCTTGGAAACGGAGATGAGCACCACAACCTTAGAGTCGGATTCGACTGGCTTTCGAGCAAGGGAACCTTTACCTTTACCTTTTACCTGAGAGAGACACAGAACATGTGTAATCTGTTATGCAACACCACCACCACCCCCACCTATTATTATTATTAT